TGTGGGCTTTGGGCACCGTTCTACCTGGTCTGGTTCTGCTTGGTTCTGCCTGGCTCAGCCCGCCCGATTCAGCCTGGTTCTGCCTGGTTCAGCCTGATTCTGCTGTGTGATGAATGAGCCTTGTGAGGAGGCACCGCAGCTTGCTCCTGGCAGGCAGGTGGCTGTGGGATGCGGGGACCAGCAGGGCTGGCGCTGGCTTGTCTGGACGGCACCGCTGGCACAGCACATGGAAGCGGGGACCTCCGTCAGCATCCTGGGGCGTCGCCACACAAGGAGGCGCAGGAGGCGCTCGGAGAGGAGAGGTAACGCATTCGGGTCTTGTTCCACCAGCACAGGTCGGGCTCCCCGGCCCCGCGGTGGTGTTTCTGGGGTGCTGCCTGTGCGAGAACCGTGTTGATGCCGCCTGCTCGCCCCTTTGCGGCCCGAGGGCCTCTGCGTTCTGTTGCAGCTGGCAGAGCTGTGGGTGTTCGTGTGTGTAGGGCGCCTGGCTTCTGGGTCTGGAGCAGATCTTGAGAAACGTTTATGCCAGTGTGGAAGTTCGCAGCCGGGGGTGTGAACAGTTTTCTCTGGCAGCGACGGGCGCTGCCTGACGCTTCAGCCTTTGCTGCCGCTGCTCATTCCCGACGTTCCTGCGGGAACACTTCTCCATGCCGTGGAAGTGCGGCCGTAGCCACCGGCGTGAAAGTACTTCCAGTTTAAAGGAATGAAAGCGAACTGGTGCCTGACACTTAACACTCCAGGTTAATTTCAGTTTTTAGTTCAACTTAACTGTCTGAGGCTTTTTAAAAAAAATTTGTCTATTTATTTGAGATGCAGAATTAGAGAGAGAGAGAGAGAGAGAGAGAGAGAGGTCTTCCATCTGCTGGTTCACTCCCCAAAAGACCACAGTGGCCAGAGTGGGGCCCATCTGAAGCCAGGAACCTGGAGCTTCTTCCAGGTCTCCCATGTGGGTGCAGGGTTCCAAGCACTTGGGCCATCTTCCACTGCTTTCCCAATCCCAGAGCTGGGTTGGAAGAGGAGCACCTGGGACTAGAACCAGTGCCCATATGGGATTCTGGCACCCCAGGAGTAGGCTTAACCTACTACGCCATAGCGCTGTCCCCAACAACTGTTTTAAGACATTAAAATCTATATACTTTATTTCTTAAAATGAGATTCAAAAGTTGCCTGTGATTAAAAATGCTTTTGTGCCAGTTGGTTTACATGGTGTACTTTGAAATAATGAATAGAAATGGCTTAGTGGAAGCCGCCAGGCACCCAGCATGGTCCGAGGCCTCTGCCCTGGCTCGTCTGTCACCTTGGTTCCTACACCTCCCTGACGGGATCCTTGGGGTTATGGTGGCAGGAGACAGATTCCTCCAGGAAATACAAGCAGCCACAGTGTGTTAGCGTGGCTTCGAGGTGATGTTGGAGTCACAACCCTACAATCCCAGCACTTGGCTGCATGCAACAAGGACGATGTGACTGATGCCAGTCTGTGGCTGGCGGTGAGGGACGGACTTGTGGTCACTGTGCCTGCCAATGGGCTCTTCCCCAGGGACACAGGGCAAGCTCCTGGCAGCTGTCAGACTGACAAGTGGCCTTGCAAGAGCTGATCTCCGTTACTCACGTGTCTGGGTCTGTGTCCCAAGCCCCGCTCCCTCCTGCTGTGATCCGTGTATCCACCTTGGTGGTACTGAGTGTGGCTGCACCACACACGAAGCCTTGGGCAGTCACTGATCCTGCCTACCTCCATCCGTGAAGCTGCTCCAAGGTCATGCTCGGGCAGCCCGCCATCTCTGCCATCTCTCTGTGGGTCCCTGCCACCATCTCTACCCTCTCTCTGTGGGTCCCTGCCGCCATCTCTGCCATCTCTCTGTGGGTCCCTGCCACCATCTCTGCCATCTCTCTGTGGGTCCCTGCTGCGGCCTTTCTTCGTTGTTTGAGATCTTCTGGTTCTTGGTGTGACAGGCGCCTGCTCTTATAGGGCGCTGTGACGGGGAATCTCACGCCTCTGTTGTGGCTGACTCCCCACCCACGCTGCAGGGTCCAGGTTTCTGTTGGACCCTTTGTCCACCCTTCCTGCTGAGGGGTCTCCCGCTGCTCCTTGGTGGCCCTATCACAGCCTGGTGGAGAGAGGAGAGCCGAGGCCCCACGGCATCTCGTGTGACTCATGTAGCATTGTAGGAAGGAAAGGGGTGACCCAGTCTTGTCTGGCACGACCCTGCCGGGGCCCCAGGGCCCTCCCGACAGGCCGGTGTGGGGTTTGGCTGGAGCAGATCCTTGTCTGACCTTTGCATCCAGGCTACCTGGGAGAGCCGCCTTCACAGCGCCGTGGCCGTCTGATGTCCATGGCCTTTGACACCAAGCACGGGTTTAGAGGCAGCGCGGGGCCCAGAGCTCCCACCATGGTGCCCCCAGGTGCGCACTCCTCCACCTTCGTCCCTCCACCTTTCAGTGCCGCCTTATGTGTTGTGGGTGGGTGGGGAGTGTGGTCCTGGGATCCTGATTGTACTGCACGAGAGAGAGCAGAGGGGCAGGAATCTCTGCCCCAGGATGTCCCTGCTGCCTGCCACGAGCCAGTTCTCACGTGGTGAGAGCAGGGTGCCCACACACCTCCCTCTGACATGCTGCATCTGCCTCTCATGACCCGAGGGGCTGTGGGAGCACCCAGCCCCACCTGAGGCATCTCCCCTCCAGCAGGGGCTGGCCTTGCCTCTCACCTCAGCCCCCACCCCTTTTTATTAAAGTCCCACATCATGGAAACGTAGATAAGTATGAATCGCAGGAGTGTGTCGTGAGTCTCATGTGTCCATCAGCTAGCACCACCAGCCGCTTGCTGGGGTCCCCCAGACAGCTCTGTCCCCACTACGCAGAAGGACTGCCAAGTAACCCCAGGTGCTGTCATTTCACCTGGGAACAGTGTGGTGTGGATCAAGAAAAGACGAGAGTCGTCGCACCCCTCCATCGTGAACAGCAACACAGCTGTGTGGCAGCGTGCACACGGATTCCTCGGCTGCAGAACCTGTCAGAGCGGCTGCGGTTCTCGCCCAGCACCATGCTTTGCACACAGCAGATCCTCAGAAAACACATCTTGAAGTTATTAATCGCTACAAAATAATGTGCTTGTTAAACTCTCTGGAAAGCTTTCTTGAATAAAGGATTCCACGTAGACTCTCATTTAACTTTAGCAACAAGCCTGCCAGAAATGCAATGAGATTAAAAGTTATTGGGGTTGGCCGGCGCCGCGGCTCACTAGGCTAATCCTCCGCCTTGCGGCGCCGGCACCCCGGGTTCTAGTCCCGGTCGGGGCGCCGGATTCTGTCCCGGTTGCCCCTCTTCCAGGCCAGCTCTCTGCTGTGGCCAGGGAGTGCAGTGGAGGATGGCCCAGGTGCTTGGGCCCTGCACCCCATGGGAGACCAGGATAAGCACCTGGCTCCTGGCTCCTGCCATCGGATCAGCGCGGTGCGCCGGCCGCAGCGCGCCGGCCGCGGCGGCCATTGGAGGGTGAACCAACGGCAAAGGAAGACCTTTCTCTCTGCCTCTCTCTCTCTCTCACTGTCCACTCTGCCTGTCAAAAAAAAAAAAAAAGTTATTGGGGCTGGCGCTGTGGCATAGTGGGCCAAGTCTGCACTGCCGGAACCCCGTATGGGTGCCAGTTCGTGTCCTTGCTGCTCCTCTTCCGATCCAGCTCTCTGCTGTGGGCTGGGAAAGCAGCAGAAGATGGCCCAGTTTTGGGGCCCCTGCACCTGCGTGGGAAACCTGGAGAAAGCTCCTGGCTCCTGACTTGGGTTGGCTCAGCTCTGGCCATTGAGGCCATCTGGGAATGAACCAACAGATGAAAACTTCTCTCTCTGTCTCTGCCTCTGCCTCTCTCTGTAACTCTACCTCTCAAAAAAAAGTTATCAGCAAGTAGTTGTCAATTGAGCCACATATTAGGTCCGTGATGTGTGAAATACAACACAAATGCACATTTTAGCAGTTTTAGTCATTATTATCTTAAAAGCAGATTTGCCTTTTAGTGATGTATAATATAAATTTTATTTGTGCCGGCTCACTAGGCTAATCCTCCGCCTGCGGCACTGGCACTCCGAGTTCTAGTCCCGGTTGCTTCTCTTCCAGTCCAGCTCTCTGCTGTGGCCCGGGAAGGCAGTGGAGGATGGCCCAGGTCCTTGGGCCCTGCACCCGCATGGGAGACCAGGAGGAAGCACCTGGCTCCTGGCTTCAGATCGACGCAGCGCACCGGCTACAGCACGCTGGCCTTGGCGGCCATTTGGGGGTTGAACCAATGGATAAAGGAAGACCTTTCTCTCTGTCTCTCTCTCATACTAACTCTGCCTGTCAAAAAAAAATTTTTTTATTTATATGAAAAAAATTTGTGGTTACCCGAATGGGCACCTGTCTTCCTTGCGACAGTCTGATGGGACTCTTGTGATGTGCCGTGTGTCAGAACAGCTGTGCAGTGTGTGACTGAAACACTGGGGAAGAGGCAGCTTTGAAGTTTGTTAGCAACTGGGTAATTAGAGTAGTCGTTCTGTGAGTCTGTTAATAATTAGGTAATTCACACGATGTTTCCCTGACCACGTCCTGTGCTTTCTCTTGCCAACCAAGTGCTGAGTTACCCGAGCTCACAAATTAGATTGGGTTTTAACTGCCACGCATGTCAGTGTCTCCCCAAGATGCTTCCGGGGAGGTAGGAAGTGTCATGGGCTTGCGGGGGACGGATTCTTGCTGTGACCCCAAACCACACGCTGGGGTCCTCAGGAGTCACCACCGTGTCCGGCTCTCTGTGACCCTGCACTCCAGGGACTGGGCCCACCCACCCCAGAGGGCACCAGCCCACACCTGCCTCGCCTGCCTGCTCTCCACCCCGGCCTCCCGCACCACCAGAGCCCAGAGCCCAGAGCCAGCTGGGGACGAGGGAGACGCCGCACTCCCTTCCCTGCTTCTCTTCTGTGGGAGCCGGGGCGCGGGCTCACCTCGGGTTGTGCGCTCAGTGCTGCTTTCTTGCTGTCTTTCAGACAGAAACCATCTGCGCCCGTCAAGACACCCTCAGACGTGCTCTGCCATGGACGCAGAAGACGAGGAGAACATGAGTAAGACCCAGGCCTATTCAGTGTCGAGTAGCTAACTGTCCATTAAAGTTGCAGTGTGTGTGAACTTGGCTCGTGAGACCGACTTGGGAAGGCTGACTTTCCTCGTGCCGTGGGCTGTTGGCAGTGTGTGTCTTTAATTCTCACCCATTCTCTGCAGAAGGTGTCAGTACCGCCGTAGACGCCATCCCTTCAGCCCTCTGTCTAGGTCCCGTCACTCTGCATCGACGAGGGGTCGTCGTTTTCACACGGGAAAGATGGCCTAGGTGTGTGTCCACCGAGAGGCGTGGTTTCCTGTGACGTGCGCTCAGACCTGCACCTGTGCATGTCAGAGCTCATCTGTAGGAGTGCTGTGAAGCCTGCTCTGGGGAGATTGTAGTCAGAAACGCTTTGCTGGGGGCTGCATCTCCACTGGTGAGGGAGACAGTGACGTGGGTGTTGAGGGTGCTCCAACCTTCCCTCTTCTCTCCAGGAGTTTGTGAATGCTTGTGTTTTATCTCTGATCCAGACAACAGTGTGTCTGAGTTAAGGCAAAGACTTCCACCGAAGCTTCCAGGGAGTGGTAGGGAAATCGGGATGAGACGTCACCTCCCATGCCAGGGGGTGGTGGGGAAATCGGGATGAGACCCTGCCTCCCACACCAGGGGGTGGTGGGGAAGTCGGGATGAGACGTCACCTTCTACACCAGGGGGTGGAAGGGAAATCAGGCTGAGACGTCACCTTCTACGCCAGGGGGTGGTAGGGAAATCGGGATGCGACGTCGCCTCCCACACCAGTGGGTGGTGGGGAAATCGGGATGCGACGTCGCCTCCTGCACCAGTGGGTGGTGGGGAAATCGGGATGCGACGTCGCCTCCCACACCAGTGGGTGGTGGGGAAATCAGGATGAGACATCGCCTCCCACACCAGGGGGTGGTAGGGAAATCGGGATGAGACATCGCCTCCCACACCAGTGGGTGGTGGGGAAATCGGGATGCGACGTCGCCTCCCACACCAGTGGGTGGTGGGGAAATTGGGATGCGACGTCGCCTCCTGCACCAGGGGGTGATAGGGAAATCAGACTGACGTTGCCTTCTACATCATCGACACATGTCTTTGCACGCTCACTGGTCTCAGGGAAGACTGTGTGGCTCCCAGCGAGCTGTATTGGTGTGGTTGTTGATGCTAGAACTCAGTTATGTGCATCTCACCTGGTGACGATCTCATCTGGGTCCCTGCCAGAGTTTATGGAGGGCCCTGGGCAGTGGGGCTGGGCTGATGTGCTGCGTGCTACGCAGTGACCACTGTCCATGCCTGCAGGGTGGCTCCTGGACAGCAGTGCGGTGCTGTCGGAGCCATGTGGCCAGTGTGTCCTTCTCCTGCAGATGCGTGCACTGCCCAGGACTGCTGGAGCCCCTGTCTTCCCTGCTTTCCCCCTCACTCCTATTTAGGATCGTTTTAAACCCAGCCCTAGGATTTTCCTGGGCAGTTCCATTCAGCATGTCCAGCTGTGCCCGAGTTCTTCAGGGAGAGAGATTAAACTCTGCGTCTTGCTTTAGAGCCGGCCACCTGCACTTGGGTACAGGCGTCCACTGGGCCACGCGTGGGGACCGTGGCCCTGGCCCGTCACCTGCAGCCTGAGTTTTGTGACCTCATGAGTGATGTTTCTGCTGGTTCAGGTGCCACCACATTGCAGCACCTGGTCCTTTGACAGCACCAGTGTCCGGTCATGACTCGTCACACTTCCAGGAAGACAGCGTGGGTCTTGGCAGGCACGTGATGGCCTCCTCGGGCTCAGTGCCTTATCCCCCTTCCCCCAGCAGCGTTTCCAACAGACGGAATGGGAGCAGGACCGCGGTGCTTCCCGAGTGGTTAAGAGGTCACAGTCCATCTGAACCATCTTATGTAAAGTATCTCTCATGATCTCAGGATTGTCTCTCATTTTTATTTCTGAAAAGAGCCGAGATTGTTTCAGAGATTAAGTGCATGTCGGAATACACTGTGATGATTTGCTTCTCTTTACGGATTATTCTGTTAAGCCAGGAAAGCAGTCACCCAGGATGTGATGTTCTCGCTCACTTAATAACCTCTCCATTCCGCCTGCTCTACTCTTCCTAACCTTTTGTTCCCTTTGAGCACCGAAAGGAGTAACCTATTGAGCTTTTGCTGGAGGATGTTATAAATGAAAATTTAGTGTCCAGTCCATCAGCTTTGTCACCTGGGGGAAGTGAGGTGTGTGTCAGAGGTGCTGTCTGTAGGGACAGTTCGCAAAGCCCTCATCTGCCCAGGAAGCATCACTTTGCCCACGGATGGTGTTGAAACCATCTCTGGTGACTGATGGTGGCCCTGGGAGTTGGTGATCTCTGCCTTCAGAGGTCGCCACTCACAGGCCGTCTCCCACCGTAAACCCTCCTGTGGGCTGGAGTGATGAACACTCACGATGTCTTAGCATGATCAGAATCCACGTCTCGTTGTGTGGAACAGAGACCCCAGGCCTCCATCCTGTAATTGGTTCACGATTTTAAAACATTTCGGTGACTTAGAAGGTGTGAATTTCTGGAAGCCATGCACATGAGCAACCTTGCCAAGCCCCGAGACCACGGCCTGTGCTTCATGCAGTGCCTGCGGATCTAGCTCTGATGAAAACCCAGTGTTTCTTTTCCTTTGCAAAAAGGCTTGCTAAACTTAGCAGCAGTGCACACTTTTTTATTTCTGTTTTTCAAAATTAGTCATGTTTGTTGTGCCATGCACTTTTAGAATTCTAAAATTATGTTCCTTTGTTAATTTTAAATATAAAATATTGGGGCTGGCATTGTAGCACAATGGGTTAAGCCCCTGGCATCTTGTGGGCACCGGTTTGATCTGGCTGCTCCAGTTCTGATCCAGCTCCCTCTAATGTGCCCGGGAAAGCAGTGGAAGGTGGTCCAAGTGCTTGGGCCCCTGCACCCTTGGGGGAGACCTGGAAGAAGCTCCTGGCTCCTGGCTTTGGCCTGGCCCAACCCTGGCCATTGCAGCCATTTGGGGAGTGAACCAGTGGATGGAGGATCTCTTCTCTTACTCTGTAACTGTACCTTTTAAATAAATAAAAAGTCTTTAAAAAAAGATAGATATAAAATACCTTAAAAGGCAGGATAAGCAAATTATTCTAGAAATCTACCAAATAATTATCATCCTCCAAAAAAATCTACTGAAAAATTACCAGATGTATTTATGTAGTTATCAAGTTGCAGCCTGCTTGCAGCTTCAGTTTTGTACCTTATTTTTTTCTATCATGGAATGTATTTATGGATTCAGAGATAAATCAGACCCCATGTAATAATGAAAAATTTTAAATCGATACCATAAAAGCATATCCCCAAAAATAATTTATAAAACAAAACTAATACTTTTCTAAAATGATTCACTAGTGAAATCAGCTAAATACACATTGACTGGATATTTCAAACCTGAAGAATCAGTAAGTTGTGCACATACAGTCTTAAATAGCGCTGTCTCTGACTGCTGAGCGTTTAGTGGGAAGTGAGAGGGTAAGAGACTGAGAAGGAAAGGCCGGACCAAATGTGTCTGCCAGCTTAGCGCAGCGCCACTCCGTGGACTTGCTAACGAGGCCTGTCCAGACCAGCTTTTCACTAAGCATCTGGATAGCTAAATAAATATCTCTGGATGCCCCAGAACATTCTCAGTAGAAAAAAAAAGCTGTTTAAAAAGGTCGCCTTCCATGCGAAAGCAGCTGGAGAAGTGAATAGGAGAGGCCTCAGCCACGTTCAGCTGCCAGGCCAGTGGGCTGGGAGCTGTCGGGCGCACACAGGCGCGAGGTCTGAGCACGCTTCACTTGCCCGGTGACAAAGGGAGATGACGGAGTCTATAAATTTTGCATTTACAAGATCCTGCAACGAAGGCGTTGTAAGCTACTCTTTCTGGGCACCGCAGGTTCCAGCAGCGCAGACGTTAAGGAAAACCGCCACCTGGACAGCGTGCCCCCCAGGGATGGCGGTGCGCCTGGGCCCAGCGAGGGGACCCGGCTCTCCAACGGGGGCGGCGGGGGTGCCAGCAGGAAGCGGCCCCTGGAGGATGGCAGCAACGGCCACTCCAAGTACCGCCTGAAGAAGCGGAGGAAAATGCCGGGGCCCGTCTTGCCCAAGAACGCCCTGATGCAGCTGAACGAGATTAAGCCCGGCCTGCAGTACACGCTGCTGTCGCAGACGGGGCCTGTGCACGCGCCGCTCTTTGTCATGTCCGTGGAGGTGAACGGGCAGGCGTTCGAGGGCTCCGGCCCCACCAAGAAAAAGGCAAAGCTGCATGCTGCCGAGAAGGCCCTGCGCTCTTTCGTCCAGTTTCCCAACGCCTCCGAAGCCCACCTGGCCATGGGGAGGACCCTGTCTGTGAACACAGATTTCACATCCGACCAGGCCGACTTTCCCGACACGCTCTTCAACGGCTTTGAGACGTCCGACAGGGTGGAGCCGCCCTTCTATGTGGGATCCAACGGTGACGACTCCTTCAGCTCCAGCGGGGACCTCAGCCTGTCGGCCTCCCCGGTGCCCGCAGGCCTGGCCCAGCCCCCACTCCCTGTCCTGCCGCCGTTCCCACCACCGAGCGGGAAGAACCCCGTGATGATCCTGAATGAGCTGCGCCCGGGTCTGAAGTATGACTTCCTGTCGGAGAGCGGGGAGAGCCACGCCAAGAGCTTCGTCATGTCTGTGGTCGTGGATGGCCAGTTCTTTGAAGGCTCGGGAAGGAACAAGAAGCTGGCCAAGGCCCGGGCGGCACAGTCTGCCCTGGCCACTGTCTTCAATCTGCACTTGGATCAGACGCCATCTCGCCAGCCTATCCCCAGCGAGGGTCTGCAGTTGCACCTGCCACAGGTGAGCACGGGTCGCTGCTGGAGCCACAGCTTAGCAGTGCTTCCTCTTCCTGCGACTCTCAACTTCCCTCCTCACATCACTCTGTCCTCACCACGGGCAGCCGCGGCCACCACTGGCTGGGGGTGGGGTAGCCCTCCTGGATCTCAGGACCACGGGCTCACTGAGAAGCCTGGCCAGCCTCGGTGCATGCTGGGGCTGTCGGCCAGGCAGAGTGGACATCGTGCCCCACAGCTCCCTCCCATCAGCCCACAGCAAGCCCTTGTCGGGATGAGCGGACAGTGATTGCCCCTCAAAGGGCCCGTCCAGGGCTCATGGTCAGGGTCAGTGGTGATGGCCACGGCATCCTCAGTGGGAAGCCCAGGCGGAAGTGAGCTCGCATCACAGGACATGGGACTGCATGGGCCAGAGCCTGAAAGCACTCAGGCTGGGTCCCGGCCCCTCCCCAGTAAGACCAGGGTAGAGAAGGGGAAGGCTCTGGGGTGGCGGGAAGGGGGCGCGGTGTCTCGTTCCTGCCCCCAGTGCCCCAGCTCTCCCCTTCTTGGGAACCCAAATCCTGCTGGTCCGCTGGAAAAAGTGCTCCGTGACCGTCCTGCTGTGCGGTGCTTGTTCCCAAGCGCGCTGCAGTTTGCTGACACAGTGGGGCCCGTGTCCGCAGCTCTGGGGCTTCCTGGGCCTCTGGAGCTGGGTCCTGGCCGCCTGGCGGTGTTCACAGTGTCCATGTTGAGGAGCGGCCCACGGTCTCTCCTGGGGCCTTTGTGAGTCAGATGCCCGCTTCCCTCACTGACCTCCTCAGCCTCGCTCCTAAGACCTGAGTCCGTTTGTAATCGGCGCCTCCTCGGCCGTGGGTCCCCGTGCAGCAGGGATGTCTCAGAGGGCCGGTGGGCCCAAGTTCACATGTGTGTGAGTGGGCGCCAGCCCTGCCTCAGGGCTGCCAGTGTGGAGCCTGCCCGGACCCTACCATGGGCAGGGCTGCGGGTGCCGCCTCTCTCCTGGCCCTGCAGGTGCCAAGTGTCAGTGTGTGGGCTGTGCCGTCTGCCACCACACCACCACAGGCTCTTCCCCAGCTCTCGGGTGGTTCCGGAGCATGATCTCATGTCCCCCAAGGACCTGAGGGTCCCTTCCCAGAGTTACTTCTGATGTCTTTGTTGCTGGCTTCTGCTGCTGTTTGGTTGGAGATTTCAAAATGCATCTTCCCAGGGCCCTGCTGAGCAGCCCGGCTGGACCGGGGCCCGGCGTCCCCCTGGGCTGCAGACTTCTGCCTTCCCGACCTTCTGAGCGGCTTGAGGGGGTTACATAGGCAGCGCGGTGCAGTCTGACGTGCCCATTTTGTTAAAATTGTGAAACCGAGCAGCCACCACTCGGGGTGGGGCGGGCCGAGCTGCGGCGGGTCTGCCTGGGGCAGAGTGGTGTGAGGGCTTGCGCTCTGTGACTGTGCTGCCTGCAGCTGGCGGGCCGTGTCTGCCTGAGTTCCACACCTTTGCCTGGAACGGCCGCTTTTCTTTCTTCCAGCTCATCGGAGCCTCGCGTTATTTTTCCTTCTGCGTAAGATTAAATGCATTATCCTTTACCCATGATGTCCTGGCCACAGGTGGTCCGCACGCCCTGTGCTTTGACCAGACACGTGGGTGTGAGACTGGTGAGGTAGGGGTCAAACTTGGCTCTTCCCCCACCTCTAGCAGCAGTTCCCAAAGCACTGTGGGCTCATTGTATCCTGGGTCGGTCGTGAGCTGTAAGACAGACCCTGCCTGCAACTTCATGGCTGTGTTTGCTCTGAGAAGCCCTCCCATAGCAGGAGTGGCAGCTGCTCCGCTGGACACGGTCGGAGCATTCTAGATGCTGGGAGCAGTCTGCTTCCCACAAGCCCCCGGATGGCAAGGCTGTGCTGAGACCCAGAGACCTGTGTCCGATGCCTGCAGCAGAGGGAGGCTACGCCAGGCTGTGTGGTTCTTGGATCTTGTCTTCAAGCTGCCCCCTTCTCCTGCCTGTGGTTTTCACATCACGTGTGGGTGCGTGCTCCCAGCCTCAGGCAGCCTGAGCCGGCTGAGGTGCGCCACACGCGGGTATGAGAAGGCAGAAGAGAAGTGGTTACTGCCTCCAGAGTCCGGCCCTTGAGGGAAGCACAACTGGGGGAGCGGGGAGACTCCAGCAGGTGGCAGCACAGCCCAGGTGGGCGGAGGGCGCGGGCAGGGGCCCTGAGCAGCACTCGCCCGCCCTGAGTCTCCGTTTCCGTGTGTGAGGGCGGGCTGGTTTGGGCCTCGCTCATGCTCCACAAGGGCTGCTCCGTGAGGCCTGTTGTACTCAGCTGGAGCCTGGCCCGGCTCCTGGGCAGCTGTTTCCAAGGAATGTGCTGGAGGGAACACCTTTGCCCGTTCACTTGTGTGCTCTGCCAGCATCAATGCCGTCGGTGAGCGCTGCCCTCCCAGGGGTGCTGGCCTAACCTGCCCTCTGTGCCCTCTCCCAGGTGTTAGCGGACGCCGTCTCCCGCCTGGTCCTGGGTAAGTTTGGTGACCTGACCGACAGCTTCTCCTCCCCTCATGCCCGCAGGAAGGTGCTCGCTGGGGTCGTCATGACGACAGGTAACTGCCCTGGCGTGTGTGCTGCGGGTCTCACATTTGACCCACCTGAGATGCTCTGGCTCTCACTCCCACGGCCCCTCCCACGCTGGCAGGGAGCCCTTCTTGTCCTCAGATGCTGGCCCCGTGCAAATAGGAGGACTGCCTCTCTCTCCCCAGTGTTCGTCCCCTGCACCCAAGGCTGTTGTCTTTCGGAGGAGGCGTCTGCTGTCCTCCTCTCTCTGGGGTGATCGGGTCACTGACTGGTTCTGCCAAGGCCTCGGGCCTGTCAGGTCCAGTGGCCACTGCGAGTGCCCTGACAGGGGAGGGAGGTGCTCCAGCAAGAACAGGATGTCTGAGAAAGCACCTTTTAGGGTGGCACAGGAGACCCTCTTAGCGCATCTGCAGTTCCCCGGGGGCGGGAGGGGTCCTGGAATCCTCTTCCTTGTGGGGCTGTGAAGTATACACGCCTCTCACGGGGCTGCAGCCTCCCTGACACGGCCTCCACCGCGTGGTTCACACGCCTCTCACGGGGCTGCAGCGTCCCTGACACGGCCTCCACCGCGTGGTTCACACGCCTCTCACGGGGCTGCAGCGTCCCTGACACGGCCTCCACCGCGTGGTTCACACGCCTCTCACGGGGCTGCAGCGTCCCTGACACGGCCTCCACCACGTGGTTCACACGCCACTCAACACGGGGCTGCAGCGTCCCTGACACGGCCTCCACCGCGTGGTTCACACGCCTCTCACGGGGCTGCAGCGTCCCTGACACGGCCTCCACCGCGTGGTTCACACGCCTCTCACGGGGCTGCAGCGTCCCTGACACGGCCTCCACCGCGTGGTTCACACGCCTCTCACGGGGCTGCAGCGTCCCTGACACGGCCTCCACCACGTGGTTCACACGCCACTCAACACGGGGCTGCAGCGTCCCTGACACGGCCTCCACCGCGTGGTTCACACGCCACTCTCACGGGGCTGCAGCGTCCCTGACACGGCCTCCACGTGGTTCACACGCCACTCTCACGGGGCTGCAGCGTCCCTGACACGGCCTCCACTGCGTGGTTCACACGCCACTCTCACGGGGCTGCAGCGTCCCTGACACGGCTTCCACCACGTGGTTCACACGCCACTCTCACGGGGTCTCACGTGCACGTGCAGCTCACACACAGCTGCGGGATCCAGGCAGGCCCGGCACCATGGCTGTGGCCGGGGTCTGCTTCCCAGGGACGGGACAGCCTGGGCCCTCTGTGGAAGGTGACTTTGCGTCTCTAAGGCCCTCCTTGCCACTCTGGGCTTTGCTGCTGCAACCAGCGGTGACTGTTCAGGACTTGAGTGGAGTGTGTGCACCACACAGGGAGGGAGCTGCCCAGGTGTGCTGCAGGGCGAGTCCTCGGTAGCAGGTTATCTGCAGGGCTCGAGTCTGTGCAGGGGAATTAGTTGGTGACGTGTGTGTACAAGAGCTCACGTGGTCCAGCGACTCCTGAGGTTGGAACCCTGGCCGTGTCTGGCGGGCCCTCGCACACTGCAGGCCTGCCTCATCGTGAGTTGTGGAGAATGACTTCTTTTGTTTTCCAGGAACAGACGTCAAAGATGCCAAGGTGATAAGCGTGTCTACAGGAACGAAGTGCATCAACGGTGAATACATGAGCGACCGCGGCCTGGCGCTCAACGACTGCCACGCCGAGATAATATCGCGGAGGTCCCTGCTCCGATTCCTCTACACGCAGCTGGAGCTCTACCTACAGTGAGTGCCGGAACGAGCGCGGTCTGCTCAGCACTGCAGCTCTCCAACACTCCTCCCCACGCAGCCAGGCGGGCCCTGTTCTGCAGTGCCCAGGGTGTGGGGTAGAGCTGACTCATCCTCGCACACACAGCCAGGCGGGCCCTGTTCTGCAGTGCCCAGGGTGTGGGGTAGAGCTGACTCAATCCTCGCACACACAGGCATGGACACACACATGTGTACGTGCGCGTGCCTGACAGGACCACAAACTTCAAGTCTGTGTTCCAGATCACGTGGCTCTGAGGACATCTGTAGCACCCTGAGCCGCCTGAGGGAACTGGGTGTTGCTGTCTGCGGGCTGAGGTCGTGCCCCCACGCCAGCTCTGTTTGGAGGGTGTGCGTGAGAAGTCCTGTCATGTTTCTGACTGGCCGTTATTGAGGGGACACAGACACGGAAATACACATAAATATTCTAGTCCAGACTTGCCTTCCCCTGTTGAAAATGCCAGCCCTGGAACCCACTCCAAACCCTGGTGGCCTGAGTTTGACCGCTGTGGCCTTCCAGGTCACTCTGGCAACGTTTTGCTTTTCAGCAGCAAAGACGATCAGAAGAAGTCCATCTTCCAGAAGTCGGAGCGGGGCGGGCTGAGGCTCAAGGAGAACGTGCAGTTCCACCTGTACATCAGCACCTCCCCCTGTGGCGACGCCAGAATCTTCTCACCCCACGAGCCAATCCTGGAGGGTAGGGCTGGCTGCGCAACACCGGGTGCACAGGAGCGCTGGGCCGATGCCATGGCGGGTGACAGCACACCTATGTTAACGCTCCCTTTCTTTTAAAATTTCAGTCTTTGCTGTGGACTAATTGGAGTCTCTGTAAAAGCATGGATGTTTTTCTTTGTAATTAGTAATTAATGAGACTATTTTAATGGATGAAAATGTCAGTTCTAATGAACCAAGTAATTTGAGTGGAGCAAGGGTCTCAGTGTTCACATTTGGATAACGTATCTGGTCACGTGCATGTGTGACTGGCTGTATCTCTGAGTTACAGTTTAGCAACTGCTTACAAAGCACTGATGCAAAGCGAGATCCTTGTTACAGCCACACAGTCAGACTCATACCCCTAATCCACTCTGTTACAGACACACCAGGAGCCACATTTCAGCCACGCCACCACAGCCATAGGACCGCAATGGCATGCAACAGCTGTACCGCTACCGCCATATTACAGTCATGCCACTACAGCCGAACTGCTACAGCCGTATTACAGTCGTGCCACTATAGCCACACTGCTACAGCCATATTACAGTCACGCCACACAGCCACACTACTACAGCCATGTCACTACAGCTACACTGCTACTCGTATTACAGCCACACCTTTACAGCCATATTACAGCCACAGCGCTACAGCCACTACAGCCACACTGCTACAGCTGCATTTTGTTCCATCCTTCCTTGCATGCAAGCTCAGTACTTTCATTTTATAGTAATTTATGTCCACATCCTTTCTCCACACATTAAGCATTATTTATTACAAATAGAACGTTGTTACATTATGTGTGTTGCCACATATTCACTGTGCAAAACAGCTAAATATTTTTAAGGAAAAAAAAAAAGACTGAGCCCAGGGCTGAGCACTGTGGGATCTTGGCCGAGTCTCCCATGCATTTATTTCTGCATCCATCTAGGTTTATTTTTAAAATTTTAAAGTACAGGGAAAGTAAATACAGCAAACACCCAAATAGCACATATTAGTGTTTAGTCCTGTTTTAAGGAATCTTTTCGGTTAAATTGCAAAGCCCCATTGTCCCTAAACTCACTGCCGTGAGACCATTATCTTCCTGCCTGGTGCTGTACGCTTGCAGTGTGTGTGTGTACGTTGTGTAGACAGCACAGATCTGTGTGCACTGCATCAACTGTCTTAGGTTGTAGGGTCTCATTAGTTGTGCTTCTCGGTAAGTGAAGCGGATGGTTTGCTGCCTGTGTGTTCTTAATCCTGTTTCTCTCTCAGAACCAGCAGACAGGCATCCAAACCGCAAGGCAAGAGGACAGCTGCGGACGAAGATCGAGTCTGGCGAGGGGACCATCCCCGTGCGCTCGAACGCGAGCATCCAGACGTGGGACGGCGTGCTGCAGGGCGAGCGGCTGCTCACCATGTCCTGCAGCGACAAGATAGCGCGGTGAGCCACCCACAGCGGCTGCTCCTGAACTGCCACTGGCTGTCCCCATTGCCCTGTGCCCCGCACTCTCCCTCAGGACCAAGGTGCCGGGCCCTCCGCGCTGCCTGCCCTCGTCCATGCATGCCTGTGGGTTTCTGGTCAAGGGGATGTATTCCACGTGTGCAGGCTGGAGCAGTTTAAATCCGCTTGCTCCCGGACAAAAATAGTGTCATTTAGTGGTTGTTATAGCTTTAATGGTCATACGTCAGTTTGCATTCTGGGCAGTTAGCACATGCATTTTATTTATATATGCATTGTAAGATTTATTTATATAAAGGCAGAGTTAGTGGGGAGGGAGGCTGGGAAAGGAGGAGATCTTCCATCCACTGGTTCACTCCCCAGATGGCTGGGTCAGGCCAAAGCCAGGAGTCAGGAGCTGCTTTCCGGTCTCCCACGTGGGTGGCAGAACTCAAGCACTTGGGCCATGTGCTGCTGCTTTGCCAAGCATGATAGCAGAGAGCTGGGGTGGAAGTGGAGCAGCCGGGACACACAACAGCGCTCCTATGGAATGCTAGTGTTGCATGTGGCAGCTTGAACTGCCGTGCCAGGACTGACCCCACGGCAGGTTGTTTTTTTTTTTTTTTTTTTTTTTTTTTTTTTAAGACTTTAAAGATTTGTCTATTTTGAAAGTCAGAGGGAAAGACAGAGAGAGCTTCATCTTTTGGTTCACCCCCCTAGATGGCCACAATGGCCAGGGCTCCAATTTTGTTCTTTCTTTCTCAGAATTGTTTTGGTTGTCTGAATTTTGGATGAATTTTTCTGCTTATTCAAAAAATGCCGCTGTTATTTTGCTGTGGATTTAACAGGCACTCTTTGACAACCTGCTGTCACTTTGAGAGGGACTGTGTTGACTGCAGATTGCTCTGGGCTAGTGGACATCTTAACCAAAGTCAGTCTTCTGGTTCCTGCTCGCGGCCTGCACTTCCGCCCACGGTGTCATCTTTCATTTCTGTCAGCTGTGCTTTCTGCACGTCTGTCACCTCCTCGGTTATGTTTGTTCCTACGTGTTACACTCTTTCTGGTGCTGTTCAAGTGGAGCTGTTTTCTGAATGTCTTTCCACTGTGTTCATTGTCACACAGAGAAATGCAACTGAATTTGTATGTTGACATTGTATACTACAGCTTTGCTGAATTCATTGTTAGCTTTAACACATTATTGTGGACTTTCTAGGGTTTCCTACGTATAAAATCATACCATTTATAAACATGTAATTTTACTTCTTCCTTTGCAATCTGGATGCCTTTCATTTCTTTGAATAGAAGTGGCGCACGCAGGCATCGTGCCTGACTGCTCATCTCGGAAGGACAGTGCTCAGTCTCTCCCTGCTAACTGCCATGTTGCGTGTGTTGACCTGGTTTCTTCTATTCCTAGTTTTTGGAGTATATTTACAAGAAAGGGCGTTGAGTTTTATCAGCACTTTGAAGACCTCCACTGAGATGATCATGGGATTTTTGTCTTTTGTTACGTTAATGTGATTACATTGGTTTATTTTTTTTTAAGTGTTGAATCATTTTTGCATTCCAGGAATAAATCCCACCTGCTTGTGGTATATAATTCCTTTAATGTGCTGCTGCATTTGGTTTGCTGGTATTCTTTTGAGGTTTTTAGCATCTGTATTCATCCGAGATGGAAGTCTGTATTCTTTTCCTGGTACCTTGAATTATCAAGTTTGGTTGTACCCTCCCCTTGATGCTGCTTGTGCCGTAGGCCATGCTTCTGATGTGTTGTGGTTTTATTTTCATTTGTCTCAGTGTAGTTTCTCATTTCCCTTTAACTTTTTTTTGACTCACTGGTGTTTAAAAGTGTGTTGCTTAATTTCCACATATTTGTGCATTTTCTACTTCTGTTGGTTTCTAGTTTCACTACAGTGTGATTCAAAAAGGTACTTTGTATGATTTTAATTTTCTTGAATTTATTAAGACTTCCAATGGCCAAAGTAGAGTCTACCCTTGAGAATGTTCTGTGGCAGGTGGCAAAGTATATGCCTCTCTGCTGTTGGCTGCTGTGTTGTGTGTCCTCTGGCCCAGAGTCTCTGTGCTGTCTGATCTCTGTGTGGCTTTGAAGTTTCATTTCTCTCTTTCCTTCCTCTGTTCAAAGCTTGCTTCCAGGAGCTTGAAGGCTCAGTGTCTGTTTATAATGCTCTATCTTCCTGGTGAATTGACCCTTTTATCTTTAGATGAATATAATGTCCTTCTGTGTTTCTCTGGCAGAGTGCAGAATGAGGCAGAGATAGTCCACCTGCTGGTTCGCTCCCCAAATAGCCACAACAGGTGCGGCTGGGCTTACGAATGTGGAATTCTATCCTGGTCTCCTCTGTGGATGGCAGGGATCAAAGTGCTCAGGCCTCTGTCCCCTGCTTTCCCAGGTGAATGAACGGGAGCCGCATCAGAAGCAGAGCAGCTGGGACTCAAACAGGACCCCCTTCTTTTTCTGTTAGAACAGGTTTTTACTTAAGGTGTGACACTCGTATAGCTACTGTCATTTGGTTATCTGCACACTCAGCCTATGTATGTTGTTGGATATAATAAAGCAAATCTCTTGGGTCAGGCTCCTGTTGGAGATCCCCATATCCCATTTGGAATGCCCAGGATGGAGTATGCCTCTGTTCTGATCTAGCTTCCTGCTAATGTGCAGATGACGGCTCAAGTACTTGAGTCCCTGTCACCCACATGAGAGACTTGGATGGAGTTCCTGGTTTCTGGCCTCAGCTTGGATCAACCTTTGCTTTGTAGGCATTGGGGAGTGAACCTGTAGATAGATGCTCTCTTTCTCTTTCTCCCCTCCCCTCATTACTCTACCTTTTAAATAAATGAGAATGAGTGAACATTAAATAAATGAATCTCTTACAGACACTATATAATTGAATCCTGGTTTTTAAAATCCACTCAGCCAATCTATGTCTTTTAATTGGAGCATTTAATCCATTGCAAGATAAAGTAATTATCGTTAGATAATACTATTGGTATTTTGTTTTATGTTTTATTCCTGCTTTGTTCTGAGTTTTTTGTGTCTTCTTTTTTATAATGATGGGATTCTCTTCTGTGTGTATTCTACAGATATTTTTCTGTGGTTACCATTAAAGTACCTTTAAGTCAGGGTGTTTTATTTTACACGCACAACCTCAGTGACATGGAAATCCTGCTCCGTCACAGCCCTTGCTCCCCTCCCCAGGTGGATGTCACAGAGCATGTCTTCACACGCCGGCACATGGTGTGGAGTGCATGTGTAGGCTACTGTGTCTCACACGGCTTTGTGCTGCCACTCCTGTTCTCCTGTGCAACCTGTAGACCCCTGTAGCATCTCTTGTAAAGCAGGGCTGGTTTTAGTCAACTTCTCTGCTTTTGCTTATCTCCAGACGTCCTGATTTCTCTTTCAATTTTATAGGACAAAAGAAAATATTCATGACTGATGGGTTTTTTCTTCAACTCTTGAAATATATTATTCCACTCCTTCTTGGCTTCCAAAGTTTCTGCTGAAGAACGTGCTGGTAATCTTACAGATAATCTTGTGTCTGACAGCGCCATCCACCGCTGCCTTTGAAGTTCATCCTCAGTGCCGGCAGTCTGACCAGAGCGCATCCCTGTGGTTCCCCTGGGACTCGCATGGTCTCTTCGAGCTTGGATCTGCGTGGCTTACTTCTTTACTCAGATTAATGACCTCTCGGGCCTTTCTCGTTTCTCCTAACACATGCATCTGTCTGCTGGAGGGGGTTCCGTTTTCCTGTATTTTCTTTTTGGTCCTCTGACTCAGCAATTTCAAGATTACTGATTTTTTATTCTTTCTGTTCAAGTCTAATATACGCCTCCAGGAAGTTTCAGTTTTGTTGTATTTTTTCAGTTCCAGAGTTTCTATTTGGGTCTTGATTTATAGCATTTTGTTTATGCACTCTTCCTGATTTTGTTTCATTATTTGTATGAACCGTATTTAGCTCACCTAGCATCTTTATGATACACAAAGGAATTTAAAATTCCTTGTTTGCAGGTCTAGAAATGTACAAGGCAGAAAGCAGGTCCATGGGTGCCTAGGAGTTGGGCCTGGAGCAAAGAGGGATGGTCTGGAAGGACCAGAACCAGACATGGCCAAGTAGCCAAGCCCGTCCTCTGCATGTCGGCCACACCCACCACCCACCACAGCAGAGACAGAAATCCTGGGGAGATTCAAACGCTTCTGCGCTGCTGCAGCTGACCAGGCGTGGACAGACAGGTCCAACACCAGGAAGGAGGGAGCTGCAGAGTGAGATAAGTCAGTTTAAGGCAGAGACAGAATCGTGAGCAGGAGCAGCCCAGCGTTGGTTCTTGGGAAGCCTATGCAGCCAGCCATGCTTGGGATAGAGGCGAGGATATCCTCTGGGGTCCACGGACACCAGCAGAACAGCAGCAGCGGAGACGAGGCAGCCTCACCACTGATGGCTTTCTTCCTTTCTTCCTCTTTAGATTTACTTACGTAAGGCAGAAAGACAGAGACAGATCTCCCGTCTGCTGGTTCACTTCCCAAATGCCCAAACAGCAGAGCTGGGGCAGGCTTGAGCCAGGGACTCGGTCTCCCACACAGGAGACGTCTGCTGTCTCCCAGAATGCACATTAACAGGAAGCTGGAATGAGAACCAGGGCAAGGACTGAACCCAGACACTCCTGAGATGCGAGGCGGGCATCTCCATCACTAGGCCTCATGCCCACCGTGTTTTAAAACTGAAATGAGCTAGAGTATTTTCTGGGAAAGCAGATATTGCTAAAACAACTGTCTCAGGCATAGGTAGAAAATTCGGATAGAATGATTGCCATTAAAGAACTTAAACCACACACACGCAAAGAAACACAGGGAAATGGAGGGAGGGGCAAACACGATCACTCGGTATTTATGAGTGCTTTCTACATCCTTAGGGAGACGACGACCTCTACTTTATGTGCTATAGACAAAGCATCTGCAGTTCATCTTGGGGAATTACTGCACACCAGACAGGGAGGGTAAAGGGAAACAGAACTGTCCTCATTTACAATTACAAAGGCATCTGCTGTACATGGATTTCTAAATATTTTTGCACTAAAATAAATTTATCTTCCACGAACGTTTTAAAGTTCCTTTCTACACATAAACAATTACCTTTTAAAATTTAGTAAACAAATACAGTTGTATATTTTTATGGCCTTCATCAGTTTCTTCCAAATCTAACTTCAGTGTAATTTTAATCAAATCAAACCCAGTTTTTTGTTTTTTTTTTTTTTCTGGGACAGGCAGAGTTAGACAGTGAGAGAGAGAGAGAGAGAGAGAGAGAGAGAGAGAGAGAAAGGTCTTCCTTTCCGTTGGTTCACCCCCTCAAATGGCCACTACAGCCGGTGCTGCACCGATCCGAAGCTGGGAGCCAGGTGCTTCCTCCTGGTCTCCCATGCAGGTGCAGGGCCCAAGCACTTGGGCCATCCTCCACTGCCTTCCCGGGCCACAGCAGAGAGCTAGACTGGAAGAGGAGCAACTGGGACAGAACTGGCGCCCCAACCGGGACTAGAACCCGGGGTGCCAGCGCCGCAAGCGGAGGATTAGCCTAGTGAGCCGTGGCACTGGCCCCAGCATTTCTTAACACACCTGCAAGCCTGTGCCCATCTGAAACAGAAAGGTAACAATCTGAAGTGAGACAGGCTGAGGCTGAGAGGGGCTGTGCAGGGCAGTGACAGGGACACAGACCTGGAAGGGCAAGACACTGACACATTCACAGGATGTGTACACAGGCAGAAGGCAGAGTCGACAATAGGTAGTCAGGGGCCAGCGCTGGGGCGCAGCAGGTTAAGCTATTGCAGTTCCTGGCTGTTGGCTTCAGCCTGGGCCAGCCCTGGCTGTTGTGGACATTTGCAGAGTGAACCAGCAGATAGAGGGTCTCTCTTCTCTCCCCTCACTCTGCTTTTCTGGTCTGTTAACAACAAACACAAGGCCACACTCTTTGGACTTCCCCACTGCTCCCTCCCAGGAAACAAGCAGCTCATGGGCCCCTTCCTAGGAGAAGCCCTCAATGTCATCTAGAACAAAGAAACGCCCTCATGATTCGAAACGACTTCTAAGAATTTCCTCTTTCAGCCTGTAGGTGGCAGCACAGCTGGTTGTCTTCCATCTGCCTGCGGACCCTTTCTCCATGGGTCAGATTCCTGCAGGGAGCCCCCACCCATGCAGCTGCACCAGGGTCGGGGTGGAGGGAGGGAAGAGGCCTGCCCTGGCCGCCCCTGACGCTGTGTCCTCCTCCTCCCGCAGCTGGAACGTGGTGGGCATCCAGGGGGCACTGCTCAGCATCTTCGTGGAGCCCATCTACTTCTCGAGCATCATCCTGGGCAGCCTGTACCACGGGGACCACCTCTCCCGAGCCATGTACCAGCGGCTGTCCAACATCGAGGACCTGCCCCCGCTCTACACCCTCAACAAGCCCCTGCTCAGCGGCAAGTACCTCCCAGGCACCATTCCATGGCTCTCAGGGCAGCGGCAGGAGCGCCTAACATGACGACCTGGGAGGAGAAGTCCTGGGCCTCTCAGGCTTTGTCCCGGGGGCCTTCTGAGTGAGCCCCTCCGCGAGGCTAATCGCTTTACCAGTCACAGAGAAGTTTCAACAGGTCTGGCACCTCTGTGCTCTGTCTCTCACGTCAGTCATTCCTGCCACGGTGCGGACTGCATTCCTGGGCATCCGCGGAGCCACCAGGGAGGGCTGCTGCCCACAGGTGCTGTCTCCCTGGGAGGTTGTGGCACACGGACTGGGCCCTGCGGCCACAGGAAGGGAGGTCTGAGCGGGGTCATGAGCCTGCCCTGTCCACCCTTTGTTACTGGTTTCTTTTCTCTGTTTAGAATTCTGTGGCTAGCGGTAAAGTGAACAGGAGCTTTTGATTCAAGGCTCCTAACTTCTAAGCACACCTTTATTTAAAAGGACACAGCTAAGGTATTTTGATCCTTCTAAAAATACCATCTTTCTCACTTAAGTTCAAAACTAAAACCGTAACCCTGAACTAAACCACGTTTCCTTTGGTGTGTGTGCCGTCTGCCTTCATAGCCTGGCTACTAGCATGGCTTTAACTTGAGAAAAGGCGGGGTGGCATTTTATTTGAAAGCGTGTCTGTCACAGCGTAAGCAGGCAGAGATGGGGAAAAGCAGAAGCTGTGCTAGTTTGTGGCTCCCTTACCTTAACCGCAGTTCTGTAAGCAGCAGCCTGGTAAAACGATGCGGGTGAGCTGAGCTTGTAACGTTTGCATCAGAGAATGATTTTTCCACCTTGTTCACTGTGAGCTACGTCTGAAGGAAAACAGCTTTAAGCCTGTTTTCTGTTGTATAATGAAGACCTGGAGGCTGGGTGCTCTGTCAAGAGAAGAGGTTGGCTGCACTCACAGTCCAAGGTCAGGGAGTCCCATCCGTGACGATGCCTGTCCAGGGACGTCAGGACTTGCTGCCCCAAAACTCACGCAGGTGTTCTGTCTTAATTGTCAGCGGTGGATGGGCGAAGGGTGGAGGTGTCTGAGGTGGGGTTGGTGGCCGGTCTTTGGGTCATTGGGGGTGTGTCCTCAGAGGCACAGGAGGTTTGCTTATTGGAGTTCAAGTTCAGCCTAGGTTCTCTCTCTGCTTCCTGCCCCACCACAAGGTCGTGCTTCTACACCTGCCAGGAGCCACCTGGTCCTGTAACCACGTGCTCAATCAGCCTTTTCTTCCCCAAATGAGGTCCTCTTGGGTGTTTGTTACAGTAATGGAAAGAGACCGATACGGCACCCTGATGGCAGGAATGAACCAGGGAGCAATCGCACAGCCAGCCAGGAGCTCAGAGCCACCAGGGACCGGACATGAAGTCCGAGAGAACAGGATCAGATTTGCCCTCGTATAGCATCCTGCACTCACAGGCGCCCACTGTGGTCCCTGGAGACAGCGCTTCTTCCCACCCCACATCACCTGGCGCTAGGCCTGCCTTAAGATCCCATCACCTCCCACATTGTCACTCTGGGAGTACGCCCACACCACCCTGTCCCTGACGTCCGGGGACAGTGAGGACGTTGTGTGTGGTGTATCAGCCCAGAGGGTAGCAGAACCACTTTTAATGGTGCTGTCTGTGCAGTGCCATCTCGTGAATGAAACCTGAGAAGGCAGGATTATTTTACTAAAAAAATACTCTAAAATGTGTAGACCACAACTCACTGAGGAAAGTCAAGCTTTTTTTAATATCTTAAATGACTGTCTCCACAAAAAGATAGTAAGAAAATAATTTCACCACATGCAGTGTACCGTAGCAGAATTTACTCTTCACCCTCCCCTCCCCGGTTCACCCCTAATCCTCCAGGTCCTAAAGCATGCCACTGGCCAGTGTGGCCACAGTCCCTCCACTTGTCTGCCTCCACTGTGTGGGGCCTCCACTGTGTGGGGCTGCCGCCAGGTGGCACAGGGGGCCTGGGTCAGAGCCAGGAGGCGGTGCCCTGCAGTGAGGCAGGTCACGTGCCACAGCGTCTGCACTTGCAGTGGCAGGATGGCCCAGGTGCCCGTCACGATCCTCTGGACAGCTGTTCAGTTCTGGGAAAGTGAAGGTGCCGGGCAGGCTCCAGGAAGCAGAGTGCTACCCAAAGGCTGGGTCAGCGGACCGTGTCCCCCTCGAGGACTTTGGATCAGCAGGGCAGGCGGCTCTGGAGCAGGAGCCTCCGGGGGTCAGCAGGCTTCGGAGGGTGGGGACCCAAGTGAAGTCGGAACACTGGGGGCGCGCGTCACGGAGGACGGGTCAAATGAGCAGTCTGGAGGGCAGTGTGGACTCGCTGACACGTGTCAGCCGCGGAAACAGCTCCAGAACATGCCCAAAACAGACCCTGCACAAGTGACCTGCGTGAGGAAGCAGCCAGGACGCCAGGCTGTGCCGGCGCCGCGTCTGTGGTTCCCTGTCGGCGTGCATCTCGGCACACAGGTGCTTCTGGCCCAAGTGGGCTGTGGTGTCTTTAGGGCAGAATGATTGCCAGGAGTGGAAGGAAATCAAGATGAAATCTGGCGCTAGGTGGTGTGTATTGTTCGTGCTTTTAAGGTTGAGATGAGAACCTGGTGTTACTTCACCATAGAAACTGTTTCGGCTGTGAGTCTCGGCAGTGGGCGGAAATGCTTGCCTGGTGCTCTTTTTCTAGGTGCTTTGAAGTGGGAGCCCCTGGAGCTTCCTCGTGTCCTTTGAAGTTCGTTTCAGTTAGGCTTTCATGGGTTTCAGGACCCTTTGGCTTTGAATTTGCTTCATGGGTCCCCTGAGTCCCGGCTCCTGCATTGGCCCAGTTTGTCGTCCAAGGCTTGCAGAGGACTCAGGAGAAGGCAGTGGTACATGACCATCCCAGCGAGGAGGCTCTGGGAGCTGGGGCCGGACAGGCTGCTCTGCGTGGGGGAGCTGGGGCCGGACAGGCTGCTCTGCGTGGGGGAGCTGGGGCCGGACAGGCTGCTCTGCATGGGGGAGCTGGGGCCGGACAGGCTGCTCTGCGTGGGGGAGCTGGGGCCGGACAGGCTGCTCTGCGTGGGTCACTGAGGCCCCGCTAGCGCTGTGTACGGGCAAATGTTGTCAAAAGTTAACAAATTCGGGAAAGAACCGTAGTGAATCTGGTCAGAATTTGGAGGAGCCCTGGGAAGATGGCACAGGGACTGGGTTAGACTGAGGCCGGTGGGGCAGGAAGGCCTCTGGTGCCCCCTACAGGGGAGCAGCAGGGCTATGTGTGGTGGGAAGAAAGCTGCGTGAGCTGATTTAATGACTTCAGCACCCCAGAGGAGAGGGCAGAGGAGAGAGAGGCACATCTGTGCTGGCGAGAGGGTAGTGGAAGAGGTCAGGGTCCTACTACTGCACAATGTAGAAGAGGGAGGGGCCGTGCAACAAAGCATTCCAGAACAGAATGGAGGCCGGCGCCGCGGCTCACTAGGCTAATCCTCCACCTAGTGGCGCTGGCACACCGGGTTCTAGTCCCGGTCGGGGCGCCGGATTCTGTCCCGGTTGCCCCTCTTCCAGGCCAGCTCTCTGCTGTGGCCAGGGAGTGCAGTGGTGGCCCAAGTGCTTGGGCCCTGTACCCCATGGGAAACCAGGAGGAAGCACCTGGCTCCTGCCTTCAGATAGGCGCGGTGCACCAGACGCAGTGCGCCAGCCTTGGTGGCCGTTGGAGGGTGAACCAACGGCAAAAGGAAGACCTTTCTCTGTCTCTCACTGTCCACTCTGCCTGTAAAAACAAACAAACAAACAAACAAAACAATGACACCCTGAGAGCGGTGCGCGGGGCTGGTTGGGCTCTGGGTGCACATCATGTGTCTTACACGTGCTCTGCCCATTACCTGTCCCTTTGTTCCTTCCCCTTTTGCTGGACTCAATTGTTTCTTTTCCTTTGTTCCCACCAGTGGTTTGGAAGTTATGAGTCTTACTTCTTACCCTTATTTATTTAGACAGGCAGTTAGTAAGAGAGAAAGGTCTTCCTTTCCATTGGTTCACCCCCCAAATGGCCACTGTGGCTGGCGCACTGCACCGATCCGAAGCCAGGAGCCAGGTGCTTCTCCTGGTCTCCCATGGGGTGCAGGGCCCAAGCACTTGGGCCATCCTCCACTGCCTTCCCGGGCCGCAGCAGAGAGCTGGCCTGGAAGAGGAGCAACCGGGACTAGAACCCCGGGGTGCTGGCACCGCAGGCAGATGATTAGCCAAGTGAGCCACGGCGCTGGCCTCTTACCCTTATTTTTAAAGTACATGCATGTTGAGCCTTAACGAGTGAAGCTGTTGCCTTCAATGCCAGCATCATGAGTGGGCACCAGTTGATTCCGGCCGCTCCACTTCTGATCCAGTTCCCTGCTGATGGCCTGGAAAAGCAGTGGAAGATGGCTGAAGTGCTTGGGCCCCTGTACCCATGTGGGAGACCCTGATGAAGCTCCCAGCCCTGGAAGTTGTGGCCATTTTGGGGAGTGAACCAGTAGAAGGAAGCTTTCACTGTCTCTCCCTTTTTCAAATACATAATATTTTTAAAATAAAATACATGTATGTAAGTTACTTTAAATGTTTACTTCATTTATTTGAAAGGCAGAGACACAGACCAAGAGAGAGCTTCCTTCTGCTGGTTTATTCCCCAAATGCTCCAACAGCCAGGAACTCAATGCAGGTCTCCCGTGTGGGTAGCAGGGACCTGAATACTTCAGCCATGACCTCCTCCCTCCTACAGGGTCTGCACTAGCAGCACACTGGCACTGGGAGCAGAGCTGGCTCCGACATTGGATGTGGTGCCCTGAGTAGCACCTGAATTGCACCCAACGCTCACTCCTTGAAATCACTCTTAAAGGGTATGCTGGGGGCAGGCAGCACTGTGGCGTGGTGGCTCAGGCTGCCACCTACAGAGCCGGCATCCCATATGGGTGCTGGTTTGACCCCCAGCTGCTTCACTTCTGATCCAGCTCTCTGCTTATGTGCCCGGGAAGGCAGCAGAAGATGGCC